GGCGTCTGGTCTTGATCCGTGGCGAGTGGTGGTGCGCGCTTGCCTCGCCCCCACGCAGGGGCTGACGCTGCCGCCTCTTTTGTTGTTTGCTGCTGCAGTGTTTGACAGAACAAACGAAACGACCACGCTCCTCCACTCGTCTTGTGCACGTACTACACACGCGTATCTTTTTTTTCGAGCATACACAATCAGGGCCGGTCCTGAGAATTTGGGGGCCCGGGGCGAAATTATGTTTGTGGGGCCCTTTGTATTTCCATCATATCATTAATTTCTAATCCATGTCTATATAAAATGTTACAAATAAACACTGGAAATGCATTCGAATCATTATTCATATCGAATAATTTGTACTCCCTTTGTCCTGTAATGTAAAACGTTTTTTGACACTAATGTAATGCCAAAAAACGTCCTATATTATGGGACGGAGTGAGTATGTATTACCTTTATTAAAAGTCACTTACGATGTGGTCATTGTCAATTCCATCCTGCAATTCCTTATCAATTCTTCTCATCCGTGGCAACTATCGTGGACTCGGCATCTAGGTTAACAAAAGCACTAGTATTCCTTGAGAAAATTGTAAATCACCACTTTGCGATTGTATGAAGTCAACCTCATGTTTTTTTTTTGTTTGGTTACCGCATGCATACTTTCTGGATGACAGGATAACACAGGGAGCTGAAATAAAATAAATTGCACCAGAAGTTAAAACATGCTATGCATCTTGTATGAGAAGGTAAATTATTTAATTAGCAACAATGTTGATTCCTGCTAATTATTGGAGGGAAATTATATATATGAAATAAGAAATAGTAATACGATTGTTAAGAGTCCAAAATTCCCAATATCCCACAAAGATTACACCCTTTTACTCATCCGGATCCGGGGGTAATAACAGTTTATACCTGGAATTGATCGGATCAGTGTTGGTGATCGGACACTCGACGAAGCCACGATGTGGACTTCCGGCGGGATCTGGAGTCGATCGTGTGTTCCCAGCATCCGGAGACGATGTGGACGCTCGACGAAGCCACGATGTGAATTGTGAGGGTTTGGGCGCGTGTGCATCGTTGCGTCCAGCGCCTGGAAAACTGTGTGCCGGCTAGAGATGCATTTGTGATAGGGAGTCTGGGAGCCAATGGAACAGGGAATAGGAAATTAAGGGATCGTGCGAACTCACGTCTCACGATCGTAAGGAAGACGAGACGAGGTGATTACACGGTTTGCCTTTTTTTTCTTGCCTGCAGATACCTATACCGTAATTACGTCCCTTCCTCTCCGTGACTCTACTTGGGCTAATTTTTCTACAAAGCTAAATGCTAATGA